CCCGTAATGTCATGTCAGTCAAGCCCCGTGGCTATCACGGAATGTTAAAACTGTGCAGCTTAAATCATTTTGCTGCCACAAATACATTTTGTCCGTACTGCCACTTTTCCAATACATCTTGCACAATATGATAGAAAGAAAGTCGTTAATACTTGAATTATCACATCGCGAGATAACTTGCATACTATCTTTCTGTCTCTCTGACTATCTCCAAAATCGGTTTTGTGTCTGAAAATCTTGATGACATGAGGCAGATGACAACGTAAACGTTAAAGACGTACGACAAAAATTACCGTCCACATTGAGATTTTCTTGACTATAACTGCGAAAAATTTTAAGTCGAGAGAATTGATCCATTTATCTCAACGATATCTGATCACAATAGATGGTAAATTTTCCAAGCTCTTTGTCTGTAGGTACAGATGATGATGCTTTTATTGCAGCCAAGTGCCATGTCCGCTTCAACTTTTGCATGGTCTCGGGCTGGCTGCGTTGCAAGCCTAAGCCAGTTAAGAAAGTACTGGATTACGAGGATCTACAAGAGGTCAAGGAGGCATTCCGTCTCTTTAATACAGATTCTAGGGGTACCATCGACATGCGAGAACTCAAAGCTGCTCTGTGGGCGCTTGGAATTCAAGTAAAGAAAGCGAGAATCAATCAGATGGTTATTGATATTGGTAAGGACGAGTCAGAGACGATTTATTATAATGAATTTATTGAACTGATGACGGGTAAAATTTTACGAACTCAAAGCGTCTACTTAATGAAACTCGACTCGATGACACGGACAAAATTTCGCTCCGAAACTTAAAGCGTGTATGTACCGAACTAGGCGAAACTTTGACGGATGAAGAAATGCATGAGATGACTGATGAAGCAGATCGCGATGAAGACGGACTGAATAACGAGGAAGAGTTTTTTTCGCGCTATGAAAAATGTAGTGAGCATCTACTGGACGACCCCAGCGACGACGATTGAACACATTTAAGTCACATTATTCTGCTGTAAGAAAACATTTCTGAGCAGAACGAAGTTAATCACAATGCTTTTATGTAGATGCGTCAGTAAATAGCTATGATCTCAGAGCCGCTTATTTATAAAACTCGGTGAAAGTAGGCAATTACTTGTTCACTTCGCTACCTGCAAGCTTCGCTACACTATCTGATACTTAGATCAGCATTAGGAAAAAATCATATGTCGATTGTGATGTATTTCTATCGTTTTCTGCACTATAATGTTTTTTTAGTATTTGCAGAGTGCAAGAATCTGGTTCAAAGACGCATGTCACGATCAAAAATTTCGACTAATTGTTCCAGCTTTACTCAGTGTGCATTCCGTGTACAAAGTATTGCAAGAAGACACAGTCAAATGAAGTTCTGAAGACATTGCCAGACTAGCATAGCCGTCTTGTTTGGACGTTTTCCGGCTAGTAGTTGTTCAACTCTTAAAAGTGAATTTGTTAATTTTGATATAATACAGCAGATATGTTGACAGCTGCAGTTGCGACAGCGACGTACTGCCAGATTGTCCGGTGAATTAGCTAGCATGCAATTTTAATTTTCAGCATCATAATCAATTCTAGCTCATACGTCACATAAATCGGATCTGTCGCTTGAAAATTGTAAGCTCTGCGCCTTTGCTCAGCAATCTGTAGCACGTATTGGCTCCGTGATAAAATGGGAAAACTATAAAATGGTATAAATTTATCCGCTTCTTTGTTGTAACAAATAGAGCAGACAATACGTTCCACGTCTTCAATCAGCGCATCGAATTACATGCGTAGTGTTTACAGAGTGTTGCTGAATACAGTGAATAGCTTTCGTTATACGGCGAGAGAAGATAACGAACGAATGTCATCGAAAATTTAAGGATGTACGTCTTATCAAGCTCTCAGTTCATACTGCTAATTGACAAGTATGTCTGTTTACTTAGGAGGATCCTAAGCAAAGGGATACGGTGCGCCTCATTCGAAACTCAAAATCTTCCCCATGAGGTCCGACCACACGTTTAATGTAGCGCTAATATTATAAAAACTCAAGGGAAGATTAGCTATGCACGTGTTACCCACCGCTTTAATAACGCGGCGTCTGAGCTCAAATACTTTTTATATAGCTTTCGGCAACGCAGCAATAAATGTTACGTCTGTAAACGTATCGCATCATCAATGCGCGACGTCACCATCGTGCCGTGCGACTGTTCATAGCCGGGGCAAGGCCATCACCAGTCGGACTCTATAATTTGCGCCTAACATGTAATTGAAAAGAAAGAGGGCAAAGTGATAACAACGTTGCTGTGAGCAAAGCCGCAATACCTAGATAGATCACAAAAATACTAGAGTCTAGTCGATGTACTCTGGACTATGCGCGAGAGTGAAGCTGTGATAGATCAGTGCAGGAAATGGGTATTGTCGAAAAAATTGTTCTTGGGCATAGCGAACAGGCCAGAAGAGCATATTTAAGGGTAAAAAAAAGTAAACTAGTCTCAATGCGACATATTGGTGTCGTAAATACGAACGTCCAGACTCGAATGTCCTATGCGAGAAGGCCGAGGCTCCCTGCAGTGGGGCTGCCGTGGCTCTTTGCTTAGAGGAAGCTAAGCTAAGGTCACCGACCTTACGTTACAAAAACTAGTACGAGTGCAGCGGATCGCAATCCACGCCTCTGAGAGTACTTAGAACCTTAACCAATGTAAACATACTCTCCTGTTCAAAATTGAAACTGTATTTAATTGTTTTAGTTGCGGCAGAGCCACCAGTATCTAAAACCCTAAATTTTCCCAACTAACTTAGTAATACCTAATTAATATAGTAAACCTAATTAATATGTTTTACTACTGGCAATCCTGCCACGTAGTGGCTTCTCATCACGCTGTACCCGTACCCACACCACTATTTATTACACCAACTTAAATTAAACCACATCTACACCATCTTGTGAGACCTGCCTTTTCATTCAAGGGTACGTTTGACCCCGTTACACTCTTCCCCATCAAAATTTTCACAATACAAATATAACTGTCACTTATAGGAGGATCGCGTCTCTGAGATACCGTTACGTTCTTAAAATTTTTTTAACATTCTCCGCACAGCGAGCCCCGTGTCTATGACATTCAAAACACCCGGCCTAGCTGGTCCCGAGGGCGCCCCCGAAAACACATACCAAGCCCTCGACAACCGAGCGCCACGCACAGCGCCCATCCCGGGAGACAAATTTCCTCGTCGAGGATTTGTTAAAAGTCGACTACGAGTCGGACACTCCTTTCTCAGCATAGGATGACGATGAGGATGAGATGCGCCACCGCGCGTCGCTAGCCGATTTCGAGCCTTGCAGGGACCGTGTCCGTCCCCCGACCTCTCGACTTCCGAGGAAAATGGAATTGTTACCAAACGCCTCGACGAGGCACAGAAACAGCAATTGGAGGCTGCCCACAGGGCGGCTCTCATGGGCTCGATTCCTCGTTCGGTCCTTTGTCTGCTGTACGGCTTCCGCTTGGCAAATCCCGCTACTGAAGCAAAAAAGCGATCACTTGATCGTAAGACGTATACTTAGTCGGGCTCCCTGACACTACACAGCTGATCTTGATCAGCAGAAAGCTCTCTAAGCTCGCTATTTGGTACCACAAAATGCCCCAATAAATCGGTACCGGGCTCGACTTCGAGCTCAAAAAGGAGGCGCTTCTGTAACCGCAATGCGGACCATCCCTGTGGTGCTCGCCCCCGGCGAAACCGCTACAGATAATATGTAGCTCCTTGAGCGATGGGTGCAGCTGTACCGGAGACATTTTCGCTGTCTACCTTGCAGCGAAACCACAAGGAAGTCGACATGCACGTAGAACGCCATCTTCGATTTGAATTTGCCAGACTGAAGGCGCAAAACAACTTCCTGCGACACATGGAATCATACATCGCGCTCCGGCGAGCTCTATGGTTCGTTACGTGGGTAAATCTACGACCACATCATCTCAGGATATCTTAAGCTTAGCTTATGGCCCTCCGGCCTCCCAGGCTTTTCACGAGAAGCGCGGGGCGCGCAACGAAGCGAAGCGTCATGGTCCTTCTGATCATGAGGGTCTACGACGTCTGGGGAGTCTTGCCGAAGTGGAACCTCAAACTCCCACGAGTTCTCGGGGTTTGGGTATCCCCGCCACTTCATTAGATACTGAATTAGATCCTGTCGACGACGTCAACACACAAGGCGTTCCACGTGGCAGTGGACACCACCATTCTCATCGAGAACAGTCGACGACAGGCGATGACGACTTGGTCGATCGCCGTCCGGTGACTTGCGATTCTCTTCGAGCGTTGAAGAACATAGTCTGTCGTCACGGCACTCTGCCGAGCGTTTTTGTGAGATCACCTACCGCTGTGCGCAAGATCTCGAGAGCCTGGAGCACTTTGCGCACCGACTGCCTTACATTGAGGATTATCGCGCTCTGTCGGAGCGTCTCCTAGCCGTCGAGCAGACTTATACGTCACTTCTGGTGATGGTCGAGCGCTTTGCGTCGTTGGAACAAAAAAAAATTGCGCTTCGTGCTCAGCACCAGTTGCTGATTCAGCTTCTGAGTGGCCAAGCGTCTTTTGGCGCCACCCCGGCGCCGACGTGCATCACTAAAGCCTAGATCTCGATGATTTGGACCTCATCCAACCATGCCACTTGTGACATGCATCGACTGTATTGAAACGTGGGCAGTGCTCAGTGTACTACGTGCCGCTCCACGTGCATCACTACGGCCACGCACTTTATGGCTCGGACGTTGTCCGACCATGCTACTCCTGACATGCAGAAACTGCTTATATACTTGGGCAGTGCTCTGTAGGTTACGTGCCACTGCATATTCAGCCAGCGAGTCATGCTCGAGACTCATGTCCGATATACCTTCGGTGTTCGACAATTTGGATACTCCGATCTCTAACACGTTGACCGTCCAGTCCATTGCCCGCGCCAATAGCGCTTCTGCTTCCAATCAGAGGTGGGCTGATAACCCACCAATGCTCTACCAGGAAACATGCGTGTAGCGCTCAAGGTCCTCATATTCCAATCGAATCATGGCTCATGGTGCTCCAACCATGCCATGCCAAGAATATAGCCATACTCTGCATCCAATCTAAGTCTAAGCAGCGTTCCACGCTATCCAAGTCAAGCAACTTGACACCGAGGTTTGCAGTTTTCTGCCACCATCGCAGCAATGAGAATTCCAAAAGCTGCACCGAATTCGCCAATCATCGCCTATCTTGATGGGTGGCTTAGAACCATATCGCAGATGAAACTCCTGGTAAGGCGGTGCAATCATATGCAACATTGTCACTTCATGACTTTTTATTGTGAGAATACCACTTCCGCCGAAGTACTCCACCTTAATACCTATTGTCGCGCGCGACCTCCTAGCCCGAACGCCGCGAATACGAGTGGCTGATGCGCTGTTTGAAGCATAGTCGTTTTTGTTGCTATCGCAACCTCATATATATAAAATCGTAAAGGTTTTCATCCCTACCCCGCTTGAGGATAAGCAAAAGTGTATTTACGGTGATGGCTATTACTACTCCCAACGACGCCTTGATAAGGCGTTGTGGCGGGCATGATTGAAGAATTTGAACAGGTAAAATCTTCGAGGCAAGCGAAAACAGTTTCCAACCCTTAGATCGCTAACTGCACCCTCTCCTCGATATAAATCAATGATAGATACAGAATATGTTGAGTGCGCTTATTGCATGAGGACAGATAGTTGTACACCCCTGTGATGCAGTGGGATGCCGTAGCTTTTGCTTAGAGGAAGCTAAGCTAAGGCACCGACCTAATGCTATTTACAAGGACAGTGCGAGTGCAGCGGATCGCAATCTGCTTCCTCCAAGAGTACTCAAAACCTTAGCCAAGATAAAGTGACTTTTCCGTTCAAAGTTGAAACTTTATTTAGATGTTTTAGTTTCGGCAGAGCCGTCAATATCTAAAATCCTTGGTTCTCCCATTTAATATAGTAATACTCAACCAATATAGTAATGCCCAATTAATATACTAATATGCATTACTACTCGCAATCTTGCCATTGGATTGTGTACTGTGTGTTTACACCACTTGTGTAATCCACACACATACGGGAACACCATCTAGTGTGGCCTGCCTTTTCATACAGAGTAACGTGTAACTGCGTTACACTCTGGGTACATGTAACCGGTTTACATTTCTGGTACATGTAACCCCGTTTCAGTACATACAGTCTTATTTGGACTCGTTTATTGAATTGATGAAAACTGCTACCAACTTCAAAAGGGTTGCAGTGCACCTCTTAACAAGTGGCATTGACCTAAATATCTCTGAGCAAGGATGGATCTGTTTGCTTCACCCAGGAGCAAAATCGAGAGCCTGCAAAGTAAATTCTCGCTCTTTGTCAGCTGCATTCAAATAAGCATAGCCACGACACCAATATATAGTTTCGTACTTCGAAATAGCCGATGCCGACGATCTTGTCAACATTTATTCGAAATCTTACTTCACAAGACTCAACTTTGCCATCCTGACATTGCTATTGCAAATTGTGTAAAATTATGTGGGAATGCCACCAAATGACGACGGTATTTGCTCTGGTGGAGCACGACTTTAAGGATGCGACGTCATTTTTTTTAGGTCTTACGACTATCCACGTTGCAATAAGCTGGTTAGATGCATCGAATCCAATCGGATATCTTTCCTGCGTTTTCTCACTCATGTACGTTCTGTTGCGGTTAAACTGATATGTGAAGTTGAAATGATTCAGCGTCTTTCAGCAAACTCGTCGTATCCAATATTCGTTCGTGCACCAGACAGATTGCTCTGAGCACTGCAGCCTTTCCACAGCACTAACATGGATCGGGCTTGCAATTTTTCACCAATAAATGGAAACATTTTTAAAGATGACACTGCGCCAAGATCACGTCCCAGTATCGACATTGGCTCTCCGATTACTTGCAGCAAAATTCTTTGTTCCATTATCGTGCGTCGCAATGCATAGATAAGACCTGGACAAAGCGCGACGCCCGTGTCAGGGCATGCGGTAAGTCAGATCCTTTTAGACAATTTATTTGCAAAGTGTTGCAGCAATCAACGCAAATGTCACCGAGTGTTTGGGAGCCTTATTGGGC